CTATGTTTCACCCTCGCGGCGTGTCACCTTTGACAAGTGTGTCATATGTTCGCCATCACTGATCTAGGAGGACCATGTCTCATATCTGGAGAGTTACAGTTGAAATACACTGTAACTGCTTTTCTTCTTGCACTGTTGACTTAATAAAAGATTTCTACACATGATCATCAGGCCAGCTCTTTATTTATCCTGTACATTTATAAAGCAAACCAGATATTGTTGGCATGCATCTCTGAAAAGTTCGGCCTTGGTAGATACTTTATCTCTTTCTGCCTTGATCTCTAGCTCTGGGAGAAATGGTTGGACAGTGAGGTCATATTAGATTTCTTCTTGAGCTAGGAAATATTTTTGCTGTTCCATCCCCCTACCTCCTTCCTATGAATGTAGCCTGACCATATATGGTTTTGCATTTTGGGGTTGGTTCTTAAACTGTATTGAACAAACCTAGACATTGTTCCTGGCACCTGAGTTAGATGTGCTCTTGTTAGCTCTCATCATTTGCTGGCTTTAGATAGATTATGGAAGGCTGCTAATCGCAATGACTATAAGTCATGTTGAGGATCATTGGCAGCAAACTCTGAATCCCAGCTGGAATGCTATTGCCTTGATTCACTATTTATAAGCTTCCCAGAAGGATCTCTTTGGCCACTAGGAGAAGCAAGATGCTGGATTAGATAAGCTAATCTGATCCAGCACTGTTCTTCTAATGGAGATGGTGGTGGTCAGGTCCAGCAACATTCCTTAATTAATTGCATCTTCCTTCATTTCCAGTATGTTCAAGACCTGGTTTTCAGATCTTTATGTGTTTCATGTTCTTCAACTGTCCCAGAAGATAAAATAGCAGCCCTGAAAATGGCCTGAGCAGCTTAGATTCTTGCATCTCAGATAAATCCACTCTGAGCAGTAATATTGATTGTTTCACTGATGCTTTGATCTTTCTCAGAGGGAGGTCAGAATACCTGTGTTTCATTTAATTTAACTCGTTTAATTCAATTCTCAGGCCATCTCCCACCCCACTCTCTGATTAGAAATTCTCTCCAAGCCATTTTACCATTCCAGCTTCCTTGTGGAAAACGGAGAATCCTGATGCCTTTCACTTTCTTGACACACAACTGGGATGATAAATCTGGATACACTTTCCCTCCCCTCTCTTTTCTCAGGTGATGAGAGTACTGCTTTCCACACAGATAAAAACAATGGGGTTGCCACTGAAAAGGATATTGAGGAGTCAGATTTGGTAGGGGGACCTAGGTTTGTCATACCCAGTGGTGTGCTGGAGCTAGCTCATTCCTGCTCCTGAGAGCTGATGGTTAATTGTTCTGGAATTTTCAGCTGAGCCATGACACCGAGATCCCCAATCAGCTGTTTGGCAGCTAACCATGCAGTGCAGCAGTGGCAATGGAGCCAACAGAGCCAGTTCTTATACATTCATCACTGCACCACTGGCTATACTTAACCCTTTTTCCTGACACAGGCATGTGCTTTTCATATCCAAGCATAACTAGTCAGTACCTGGTGCTTTCCCTTTCTTCCAGATACAATTCCTCCCAGATTCTAGATGACATGTCACTTTTTAAAGCTGCTCTGCAATACTCTATTTATCAGGTTTCCTAATAAGTTACTGCCTTAGGAAAATATTAATTTTCTTTTATATATCTGTCAGAACTCTTTCTGCACTGGCTTGTCTCTGGTTGCAAGAGGCTCTCCACCCCAAAGGTGTATTCCTCCACTTCTGAACATGTTTAAGCTATGCGCACTCCCTCCTATGTTTCACCCTCGTGAGGCTATCTGTTTGTCTCATCAAAGCTATTCACACCCATACAACATCTCTTGCAAGCTGTCGCACCCCATCAACAAGTTTCATCATTTAAATCCTTGCGACAGCCAGTGCTGTAACTCAGTTCCACCTCAGATGGTCTGTGCTCAGCAGCTTCTGCCAACAAAGATAATTATTGTGGTTTTTCTGGACAGGCTTATTGTTTTTGCTGGCCTCCTTCCCCCTGTATTGTCAGAGAGAAGCTTTTCCTATCTCCCTCCCCACCCCCTCTCTAAGGGCACCTTCATGCAGAATTTTGTGTGTGTTTGTTTTTCCAGGCCTAGAGCGTGAGGACCAAACACCTCCCATTCATAAAAGCCACATGACAGTCATGCTGACACAGCAATGATTCCCTTGTGAGTCCATAGAGCAGACAGGCTGCAGAATCCGCTCCTTGGAGGGAGATACCGAACCTCTTACAAAATATGCATTTCCCTAATTCATTATTCATTTCACTAAGGCAGGCTCTAAGTTTCTCCCTCTCCCCACTCTGTCACACATAGACATGTGCACATGCATACATGCAGATCGCTGTAAGTTTGTTAATGCTTATTTATTAACTCACCAGAAAAGGTGGATGAATGCAATTAAAAGCAGCATAAAGTTAACATTTAGAAATGCAGTAATGTGATAGATAGATAGATAGATAGATAGATAGATAGATAGATAGATAGATAGATAGATAGATAGATGGATGGATGGATGGATGGATGGATGGATGGATGGATGGATGGATCCATCCATATCCATCCATACCAATAGAGAGATATTCCATATCTGATCCAAGATCCCCAGGGATTAAAGAAAAAATAAAACCAAGCAAAACAACCAGAGAATGATTTAATTTATTAAATTAGGTCTCTGCTCACTAATCATGATGTGAGTTCTTAATTTCTTGCCTGAAATTTGAAACAATCATGCACATGGATATTTATCATTTCTGTTCATATTAGCATTCATGCCTAAGAATGAAAGCTATAAATAAAAGTTATCCCTGCACTGACCCCCTATCAGAAATAATGTAATAATGTAAAAATTGGGGTGGGGGGTAAGAATGGCTGTGATTTAAGGATATCTCTGGCAAAACCCCATAGTTAAGTCTTGCTGGTGGCTGTTGCTACATCAGCAACTGATCAGCATTTAACCCTTTTCATCCTTTTGGTTGATTCCTTCCAGTGGTAAAAATACCTTAGGCTGAAAATACAGAGAAACTGCATCTAAGGGTACACCACTTCTGACCTTGCTAAATCTCTGAAGCAAGATGATGGATCTCCCAATTACATGCAGTCTAGCTCTGTCCACTAATGTGTAACTTTGGATCAAGAGGATTCTCCCAGAAGAGTTCAGTGTTGAGTTACTGTTGAAAACAATAGTAAATAGGATGTGAGAACGTAATCATAGGTGAGGCATTTGGTACATGTTGTTTGTAAATCTGCCTTACTTAAAAATAAACTTTGTAAAGCTGGTTTCTTGGCCTCCAGTCCCTGATATCTAAGAACCCTGCCTGCTAGAGGAAATATCCTTCTCTTTCTTCTTCCAATGGGACACCTGTAATTTTTTAATAATGTTGTTATAATGTACAGGCACTGAAAAAAGCACCAAGCAAAATTCATAGAAAGCTGTGCAATACAAAGTATTTGTGCATGCTGTAAAATAACTGAATGTGCAATTTATATATAATATAATATTTGGTGTAGTGGTTAAGGTGCTGAGCTAGAGGCCAGGAGGCTGTAAGTTCTAGTCCTCCCTTAGGCATGAAAGCCAGCTGGGTGACTTTGGGCCAGTCACTCTCTCTCAGCCCAACCCATCTCACAAGATTGTTGTTGTGGGGAAAATAGGAGGAGGGAGCATTATATTCGCTGCCTGGAATTCTACAAAATAAGGTTGGGATATATATGAATAACAAATACAAATAAAAATAATATAATTGATTAAGGAAATAACCAGTTTCTTTTTAAAAGTCAGCTGGACTCTTAAAAGTCTGGTGCTCATGGTTTACTATATTCCATGTTTCTTTAACTGATCTTTCAGTTTCAGTGTTTGATGCTATATCCTGGATAAAGTGGGGGCTGAGGTTGTGATTAAAAGCCTTTCTGCTTATAAGTACCTTTCCAACCATTCGTGGTCAGTCCAAAAGAAAATAGGGAATAGATAGCTTCTGGTTGCAACCTCATTCCCAAGAATTTTGTCCTCCAGCCTCTTTCCTGAGCAACATATTAGAAAACTTCTTACCTATTTCCACAGCTTGTTTTGAATTCCTTCTGTTCTTCTTGCTTACCCTTTTCTTCCCTTGATCAGTGTTTTAGGCTGTGATTGTCAAGAAGCTGAGATGAAGGGCCTCAGATGATTCAAGAGCTCCAAACTTGATTTGTCTCAGGACATGCCCCTCCCTGTGGATTTAAAATCTATCTGTTTATATTGATATGCCCCAAAGGTGATTTTTCATGTGAATTGAATGCATAGGAGGAGGAGTGTAGCAACCCAGCCCTACAACAACCCACAGTTTATGAGGGACTTATGACATGAATACATTTCTTGTCCCTAATAGTCATCTTTTCATGTCACTGCTTTTTCTTGAAACCAAGTCTGGAATTGGGTATACAAGTAGTTCCCAATTTAAGAATGAGTTCCATTTCCAAGGTCTGTCCTTAAGTTGAATTTATACGTAAGCTGGAACAGTATTATTGTATAATGCTGCATAAGTAGTATTGTGTAATTAACTCTAATCATTGTGTATTTAACTCAAATTTTGCTACAGTAGGCTCCATTCTTAACTATGGGTCATCCGTAAACCAGGCATTCTTAACCCAGAGACTACCTGTATTGGATATCTTCCTGTTCTGACTGCCATGCTTACATAACAGAATGTTCTGTTGTATTGCTTTTCCAGACTTAAACTATCAAATGATGAAATTAAACGTGCAATTTTAACAATGGATGAACAGGAGGACCTGCCAAAGGACATGCTTGAACAGGTGAGTACAGAAGGTGCTTCAGGTTCTTGACAGAAATGTTTAAAAATGCAAGTCCAAAATTCATCATCCAGGATCTCTGCTCCCAACTGTTCCAGAGGCCTTGGTTGTTTTCCTCTCCTGGTCTATGCAAGTAGAAGAGTTTAGCTCTGACCTAGAGAAGGAAGTAGGAGGGGTGAAATGGTTCCTCAGCCCTGAGAAAGTAGAAAGCATGAGAAAGAGACTTGGAACAGTTCCACCTTAACCTTGTTGTCATTAAAAATGGGTAGTGAAGATTTTGGACAGGTTTTGAGATTCTTTTAATATACCCTGCAACAATAAAGTAACATTCCTAGAATCCTTGAAGTGTTTGTTTCTTGATCTGGCCTACCTTGAAGGGCTGACAATATGCAATCTTATCTTTTTGACACATGTCTACCTGTCAGCCCTTTGAGGTAGAACAGACTAGGAAGGTTGTAGTAACAGAATCTTGGATGTCTTAATGTGCTTCCCCCCTCCCTCCCTTTATCTTCACGAGAACTAGGGAGGGTCTTGTCTGAGACACTTACTCGGGTTACAGATCTGGCCCAGACCCAGATTTCTTTTATCTGACTGTTGTCCTGGTAGCAGCTCTTTCTCCTGTTCCTCAAGGTTATTCCTTCTGTCCATTACACTACCAAATCCTCTTTGTTTCAGTTTATTTTTTAATCTAAAACAGGGATGCATAATCTGCAGTTTGAGGTCTGCCTGAAGATCCCCCAAAACTTTGGATGTAGCCCCAGAAGTTCCTCTAAGAGTTGCAGATGAATTGTAATGTTTACTGTGATAGAAGAAAGGAATGTTTAAATACATAGGGGGAAAGTCTTATGAACTATTTTTAATGTAATATAAAATTTAAAATCCAATTAAAAGTAGTTTTTCAACCTGGTCCCCCTGCTTTTTTGCCAATCCAAGGCTAGGTGTAACTCATCCTTTAAATGGGAGCTTTGCTAAAATCTGAAAAGCTCTCCTGGAAACCTGAAGAATCCTTGTAAATGTGGTTATTTAGCAGCTTTCAACAAGCATCTCTTTTGAAGAAAAGTTAGAAGGTGTTGGGAAGGGACCTCCTTTCTACTATCTGGGAATGACACTCCTGCCCACGCATACTACAGTATATTCATAGACTGCTATAGACAGAGATGCCCCTGATAAGTTCTGTCACAACTGAGGAGTTAAACATCCTCTCGGCGAAGAAAGATCACCACACCTTAGCAGGTGACTAACCTGACCTACGTGGAATGAAATCTCTGCTTTTGGCAATTCATTCTTGGTTGCAGTTTCATGGGCTTTCTGTGTGAGAGCTAAAGTATTTTAAGGAAACAACCATTTCTTTTTAATCTAAAAAAAAAAAAGCGGGAACTTGGTCTGCCTCAACATACTCTTCAAGACACCCCTCCTTTGAGATGAAACATTCTGCATATGTGAACTGAGAGGGCCTTGGGTAACAAAGTCAATGGAAAAAGAGGAAAATGGATTCAGTAGAACACAGTAGAATGTGTTCAGCTCTGGTTTCCACGCAGACAAGCAGCCTCTTGACTGCATGCAGTCCTCAGCCTGCTCAGCCTTTCTGTGCAGCCTATAGAGCTCAAATGAACCTTAATATCTTTTCTCTCTTGCCCACCTAGAGAAGGCATGGCAAGCATGTAAGAACATTATTTGTAGCAGGGAAACAGCAATGGGACTTCTCATGGTGTCCCACTCAAAATGCTTTTCAACTGCCGATAAAGAGAAAAATGTGATGGAAGGCTTGAGTGGGGAGGATTCTGGAATGGAGCTTCAAGGTTACAGGGAGGGGGGAGAGACATTCCAAGGACAGCATCTCCTCAGCCCCCAGATGGACTGTGTGAAAGTCAAGAGAAAGAGACTGGCCCCTCCCTGAGGGCATGATGGTTATTGTTGCTGTCGTTGGGGGATTAGAGTTGGTCTGGCGAGATTCTGTCTACTAGGTGCAAGCTAATAAAGAAGCTGAGCTGATTTCTGGACTGTCTCATTGTGATTCTTGGGCTGAACCTGACAAAAAATCCAGTCTTCCCTGCAAGTATTATTTGGGAAAATAAAGACTTTAACATCCTCTCCCAGTTATTCCTAAATGCAGAATGGGTGTCTTCACAACCCTGTACTTTACAAGCTTATCCCTCTGTGTTCCTATGCCACCAATGAGATTCTCTACTCAAAAAAGATTTCTTACCCTCCTCTTTACTAGATCCTGAAGCCTACATATCTGCCACCCCACCCCTTTTCCTTTTGTGTAAGAAGAAGTTGATTTCCCAGGAGAAGAATGTTTATCTAAAATACCTATTTTTTTCTTTTTAGCTTTTAAAATTTGTTCCTGAAAAAGCTGACATTGATCTTCTGGAAGAACACAAGCATGAGTTGGATCGCATGGCCAAGGCTGACAGATTCCTCTTTGAAATGAGCAGGTGATTTTTGCCAGTTGCTTCCTTTTTAACATTGTTGCTGTCTGCACAAAAAACAGGGACTCAATAACTATGGGAATGTAGAAAGGAGGTCTATTCAGTGTCAGTCAGTGTTGTTTTCTTATTGAATTATGTTTATTTGTAAGCCACCTTAGCTATTGCTCTGTATAGTGGCAATATAGAGCACAAGACCACGTTCTCTAATCTGATGACTTCAAGTTGCATTCCACACTTTGACCGTGTTATTTTAGGAACTGTGAGTTGAACTGGAGGACATCAGGTTGGAGAAAGCTGGTATAGATGATGTTCTGAACTTTTGAGGAATGTTCAGATTTTCTGGAGCTTGAAAGTCACTGAATAAGTATTTGATAATAATCTCTGCAGATGATTGCTCTGACTTTCCAGAAAGCAACTGTGCAGATTAACCTGAGACATGTCATTTTTCTTCCAACGTTTACTAACCCTGAGAAATATAGTGGCTCTTATACTGTTTTACTCCTCTTCTTGCAGGATAAATCATTACCAGCAAAGGCTGCAGTCCTTGTATTTTAAGAAGAAGTTTGCTGAAAGAGTTGCTGAAGTTAAACCAAAAGTTGAAGGTGAGGAATGGGCTTAAGGAAGTGGCTATGTCTGTGTCAAAGTTTGATAAAACGTAAAAAGAAAACACTCAGAAAAAGCTATCTTCTTTTGCACTGAATCACAGTGCAAGGATCCTCCCTATTATTTTTGAAATAAATATCTGAAACAAGGAAAGTATTTTAAATTTTATTCTAGATTTTGAACAAAACAATAGTATGACAAGGGAGGGAAATGGAATATCACGCTGGTAGGGAGAACAGATTGTGACTTTAAATCATAAATGTTTTGTCTTAATTTTGATGAATTATTAAAGGATGAATGCCGTTGGTGATGAGAACACCTAATGTTTGAGGTCTTCTATTAACTGTTTCAGGTTCTAGGAACACTGTGTCAAAATTATCACAAAGACTAGTCAAACTGGTTTTTTTAATGGTCATTTTTATTAGCAAACATGCTAGATTTTTTCACCCTCTTCTCTAACCTGGTTGTTTTGTAAGGAGTTGCTTGAATGACACTGTTGTAATTTTCATCTTTTTTCTTGGAATTGTTATTTTCTCCCTTTCTTGCCAACTCTGTGATCATTTCTTGGGGTAACCTTCTTTCTGTTTGTGTTAATTGAGGTTGCTTTGTAAATCATTCCAATAAACACACATTAACACTGTCTAGCCAGGATCCCATTGTCTGACCAGAACTTCTGCTCCGTGCCCTTTCTAGCAATTCGAACTGCTTCCGTCCAAGTGTTCCAGAGCAAAAGCCTGAAGCAACTGCTCGAAGTGGTTTTGGCATTTGGCAACTACATGAACAAGGGCCAGAGAGGGAATGCTTATGGCTTTAAAATTTCTAGCCTGAACAAGATTGCAGATACCAAATCCAGCATTGACAAGTAAGCAGCTTCAACCATGGGCTCGTTTTGTAGGAGAGGAGGATGGGGGTTAGGAGACTAGGTTCCTTTTGGGGAGCAGGGAAAATAATAAGATCCCCTTACATTCTGTAAAAGCATGTGGTTTATGCCATTGTTGCCCAATTGTTATTGGGCCAAAGGCCACTCCATCCATTTATCTCTCCATCCATCTATCCACCCACTGACCCACCCACTACCTACCCACCATCATATGACTCCTGGTGTTTTCTTAACATTTTAGTCTCCAAGTAGTCTTCAAATAGAGACTCATATAAAGCATGTTACGGTAGCCTATTCTAATGGTAGTGGGAGCATAGGTTACCACTGTTATGTCCTCCTGCTCCATGTAGGGCCACAACTGGCATACCAGCCAAAGCTAGGTGAAAGTTCCCTGGCCACAGTCTCCTCTTGCCCTTTCAGTGGTAGCTATGAATCCAGAAGGACCCTTGGTTGCAGACCTCATCTTTCAGGGAGGTTCCCATGTGATCCAGTATAACAATTACAACAGACAGAATAAGATATCTGTAGGCAAACAACATCTTGTTAGGGCATTTCAACTGATCCAGACCATCATAGTTTCCAGGCATCTGGTCAAATCTTCCACATTTCCAGCTCTGTCTATGATGGTGAAGTATAGAATGATACATTCAGTATAGTGATAATACCTCACCTCAAACCAGTGGATGACTTCTCCCAAAGATCTCATATTAGATGGTAAACAGTAGAGACATGAGGCTTATCTCTCTGGGAACTCCACAGGGATCACCCAAGGGCCCAGTCTCTCTTCTTTCATTACTACTGCTACCACTTTGGAGTGGAACTACTGTAGAACAATGCCTCTGATCTCCAACATTCACAATTAGTCCAGGAAAATATCATGGTCAGTAGTGTCAAGCGTCATGAGTTAGGCCCAACAATTGTCCAGGTCCTTAGTTCATCCACCAGAGCAACCAATTCCGTTTCAGTTCCATGCATAGGCCTGAACTCTGTCTAAAAAGAATCCAGATAATCTGCTTCTTCTAGAGCACTCTGCAGCTGGAGCCACACCACCTTGTCAAGGACCTTCCCCAGAAAAGAAAAAATTGGAGAGAAGATTATTATTATCCAATAAAGCTGGATAAAAAAGCTTCCTCAGAAGGGAGAGCACAGGGCCTCCTTCAAAGCAGCCAGAGTAATCCCTCCCCCAAAGGGGCAATAACACACACACTCCCAACCACATGGAGGATCCAGGAAGGACAGATTTATCCTGGATAGCATTGTGTTAACTTCACTGGAGTCCTCAAACCAGAATGAACCTCAGATAACAGTAAAATTGCCCCCATCACCACTACAACTCCTGTCCATGAGAAATCAAGTTGTACAGATATTCCAATGACCAAACAGTAGATCTTCCTGCTCCTCCCTCCCCAATAGGGATTGAATGAGCTTAATCAGGACAGCTGGATGACAACCCCTAATGCGATATGGGTGGAGACATGGAGGTACTTCATCACCCTTATTGCCACAGTGTAGGCTTGAACACAAGCTCTTACCCATGTTCAGTCAAGTTCACTGCACTCTTCCTCCACTGGTATTCCAAGCATCAGTTCTCTTGCTTCATCTCCCAGAGCTATTTGGTAAATCAAGAAGCATTTCACAATCTCCCGACAGAGAGCAGTAGAGCAGTCATGTCAAGTGCTCTGGTAATTTTCTGATCCCAGTATTCAACCAGACACCCAATGAAACTGCTTGCCAGATTGTTGGGAAAATCCATAAAGACTTCTTGGAAGCCATCAGCTCCATATGGCACCTGGGACAGACAAATAGGTCTTTCCACCCTGCAGTGGTCCCTGATGGTGACAAATCTCTTCTAGATCAGGACAGGATCTAACTATGGCAAACAACCCATAGCAATGTCTTCCATTTCTAAATTATTTAGCAACTGCTCCAAAACAAAAACAAGATATAAGATTACTTGGGACAGGCCCATTGCTGCCACAGAAGCCATGAAATCCTGGTTCTCTCAGTTTCTGGTCAGTGACTGCAATACAATTTTGATTTGAATGTGATCCTTACCAGGCCCCCCAATGGGGATGGAAGTTGAAATCCCTCAGCACTAACTGCAGGAATTCCAGCTCTGTGACAAAATCCAGGAGTTCAGAAATGGATCCTGCCTAGCAACAGGGAGAACAATATATGAGCAGGATCCCCAGCTTATCCCAGCAGCCCAACCTAATGCACAGTCATTTGCACCCTTTCAGCTTCAAAGCAGAAGCCCTAGTGACAGGTAAGTTATTGCTAGAGATCATCACCACACTTCTCCCTTTCTTTGGTGCTGAAGCTGATGCATAATCTGAAGTCAGGGAGACAAATCTTCAAGAAAGCTGTATTACTGCCCTCACCAAGCCAGATCTCAGTGATGCATGACAGATCTATTCATCGTTCACCAATAAGTCATGGATCACCAAGATTTTACTGTAAATGGACCAGGTATTTACCAGCACCAGCTTGAGACCAAGGTCACTAGTGATACAGCCTTCTGGACCCAGGAAAGAAACCATGGGGGCTTTGATTGGCATGTTGAACCTCTGCACTTCAAAAGGGTTGTATTAGGCACCTGCATTGTGGAACCTGTATCCGGAGGAGTGGATGGCCTAGATGCTGCTGGCCTTCAGGAAAGCAGTGAAGTCTTAGTTTTAGCATTCATGAGGGCCAAAGAATTGTGTGAGGAAGGGAGCTTTCTGCCTAGAAAGAACCAGAAAGAATTGAAGCAGAAATACATCTGTGAAACAGTTCAGCTGGATGCTTGATCCCAAGTTTTGTATGTCTGTAGAATTTGATGTAGATTATGGAGTCTGTTGCTGCTGAATGTAGCACTGGCCACCAGCGTTGTTAGTTTTAAAAGAGAACTATAGATAAATTCCTGGAGGACAGAGCTATTATTAGCTACTATTCTTAGCAACTGTGTGCTACCCCCTGAATCACAAATAGCATACCTCAGATGCTAGTTGTTGGGAAGCAACTATTTTGTAGTCCTGTCTATATCTGTGAATTTCCAAAATGGACCTGGTTGATCATTGTGTGACACAGTATTGGGCTAGATGGATTCTTGACCTGAATCCTAAAGAGGTATAGCTATTTTCTATTAAGGGTGAATTAAACTTCACATATTTTCTCTTTGTTGGAAAGTAGTGTCCCATGCTCACATTATTAATCATTGCCTGTCTTTATCACAGGAACATTACCTTGTTGCACTATCTCATCACAATCATAGAAAAAAAATATCCCAAAGTATTCAGTCTACATGAAGAATTAAAAGATGTCCCAGAAGCTGCCAAAGTAAAGTAAGTGTTTATTTCGGAAACTGGTGTTACTACTTATTTCTTTGTATGAACTTATTACAACAAAAATGTTCTCAGATTAAAGAACAGTAAGCAACAATTTAAATCAACAGAAGCCAGAAAAGTTATTTTTCAGATACTGTAAGGTCAGATGTAGCAACTATATACAATAAGGTGCATTTATTGCAGTAATACTGTTAATACAATATGATTGATGTGCATGCACTAACAGTGGAAGAGACACACACACACACCCCGCAATATTTCTATGCCAGAAGATGCTTATATCTTGACAATCTGCAAGAAATAGAGAAGGAAAGAAAAGTACAAATAGTGCATCCATCTTGGCCCTCCTCTCAGCAGTCTTTGATGCCATTGACTATGGTATTGTTCTGGACTGGCTAAGAGGGTTGTGAGTGGGGGGCAGTGTTCTGCAGTGGTCTTCCTCCTTCCCCTGGGGCTGGTTCCAGGCAGTGTTGGTAGGGATGGGGGTCTACTTCTAGACCCCTGATATGCAGGATATTTGAGAGCTCTTCCCTCTCCTCTTTAACATCTACATGAAGCCACTGGGGAGGTCATCTGTCAGCACAGAATGCAGTATTATCAGTATGTTGATGATACCCAGTTGTACATCTCCACCCCCAGCCGCCCAAGTGGAGCTGTCAAGATTGTGTCCCAGTGACTGAAGACTATGGGGGTCTGGATGGGGAAGAACAGGCTTCAGCTCGACCCAACCAAGACCAAATGGCTGTGGGTTTTTGGACCTGGAACTTTAGGCCATTCAATATATAATTTGGGGGTCCTTTTGAACTCACAACACAACAGGTGGCAGCTGTGGCCACTGGGTTCTTTGAACAACTTCATCTTGTGCACCAGTTGCATCCGTTGCTGGATGGGGGGAGGGGGGCTGCTCACAATCGTTCATGCCTTAGTAATCCCAATTGGATTAGTGCAACATGCTGTACATGAGACTGCCCTTGAAAAATATCCAAAAGCTTCAGTCGGTCCATAATTAGCGCTACCTTGTGAGTGTTCCTCATTACACCCATGTGGCATGTCTACTCTGAGCTACACTGGCTTCCAGTTGGCTTCTGAGTGCAATTCAAGGTCCTGGTTATCACCTATAAAGCCCTGCATGGCATAGGATCAGGTTATTTGCAGGACCACTGCTTCCAAAGATATCTTCCCATCCCATACACCCCAGTAGGGAGGACATACCTTGAGTCCCCTTCTTGAAACAATGCATCTTGAGGGACCCAGGAGGCATGCCTCTTGGATGGCAGCCCTGACATTTGAAATGATCTCCCCCAATTTATAGTTGACCCTGACCCTACAGAACTTCAGAAAGGCAGTTCAGACCTGGCTCCTTCTGCAGACACTTGGGTCAGGATGACTGGAATTCCTAACTGATGGGTCATAGTATAGTTTAGTTCTGATTGCCATTTTATTTTCTTAGTTTTAATCGTAGTTTTATTTTGTATTTTTTGTTTGATGATTTCTTGTAGGCCACAATGTTGTCTGAGTTGTGTGGCCATATAAATGTATTAGTAAGTAAGGGGAAATGTAATTATTGTATGATAGAACTGTCTGCCTCCTCAGTGAACAGAATGTTTGTGTATACATGAATGTTAAATTAGCATTTTCTGTGGCTTGTGTACATATATCTTTCAATGCCTTCCTAAAAATCTCAGTTGGCCCATGATTCTTAGATATGTGTACATGGATGTATTTCATACCACTATTCTGAGGAATGTTGTAATGTGTATAGTCATTAGAATTGGGTCAATTCATAGCACGGTTGCCAGGACTGGTTTTAGAATATATAAAATGTTGCAGAGTGGGAAATGTCCCAGCCTTTCAGAGTTCATAGCTTTGCTTTCAGAAAGAGAGTTTGTATTTTACATTGGTAAATAAATAATGCCAGTTTGAACCTCAAGGCTGTCTTCATCAACATGTGCCAGTGTTAAATTGCTACAGATAAGATGCTAACCTGAAAATAAGAATCTTTTTGTCTCCAGTCAAAGAAGTACAGATAGCTTCAGAGCTGCATTTTGAAATTTTGCAAGGAGCAGCTTGAAAATTTAATCTCTTTCCTTTATTTCTGGCAGTATGACTGAACTGGACAAGGAAATTGGCAACTTGAGGAGTGGGCTCAGGGCTGTGGAGACCGTAAGTGTTGCTTACCCAGTTAACGGTTCCCTACCGTGATTTCAGGACAGGCTGTGTGTGTGTGTGTGCACGCACATCTGTTAGCATTCATTCTTGGAGAGGAAGGGGGGAAAACAGGCAAAGCAGTTCTTATCTCTTTTCGAAGAGAATGGTTTCTTTCTCTTTCCTGTCCTGCATCTTGTTATTTCTTATTATAGTTTTATACTTCTGTTAATGATCTCAGTAGCTTTCCTTCTTTCTTTCATCATGTATGTCTTTAAAAAAATGTTTGGCTTTGGTAGTCCTAACAGCGCAGAGGTAGTTTTTAAATTTTTGGAAACTCATGTGGCAGTCAGGTCTACAGCTGCTTTTAATCAACTTTAATCAGCAAGCCAACTACAAACCTTTGTAAGAGTGTGTCCTTCACACATATATACATCCCTAAGTGTATGCCCACCCAACAGAGCAATATTGGGATATTTTGAAAAGGGGTGGGGTGTACATGGCAGATTAGGCAAATTGGCTCAGAAAATTGGCCCAAAGGGAGTGGAGTTGAGATCAGTGGGCCAAGATTCCTCTGCAAGTAGATCAGTTTTACATTACCATAAATGTTTGCAAAAAGAAGGATGAGTTAATATGTCATCCTAACCCTGAACTAGTGCTGTTGAGCAAATGATCCTTATCGGTAACAAAGCCAATATGTATGTATGTGTATGTATGTATGTTGCAGGGAGTTATGTTCCCCTGATAGGGTAGGGAGGAGGGTGGGGAGATAACAAGTTGGAGGTCTAACTGCATCAGGACAGCTGAACTTTCAGTAGCATGGGGTGGGTCATACATAAAGCACACATGAAGATGTAGAGCAGAAATGGGCAATGCCTATCTTTGATGGTCATGGGCCATGCCTAACATATCTAGGGGGCTGCTATAGAAGGGCAAGATTGTATGACATACAGTACTTGAGTAGGAGCAGGATTTGTCTTCAAGGATTGAACCATAAGCGGTTTTAAAAGTGGGGGCGGGGGTTAAAATACTTGAATGGTTTTGAAAAACTCATAGGAGACTGCCTTTAGAACGATGGCAGTGATGTGCTGGAGCCAGCTCATACCAGCTTGCAAGAACCAATTGTTAAATTTTCAGGAATGTTGTGAGCCAGTTGAGAGCAGAGCTGATCCGGAACATCTAGCATGCCAGTCAGCTGTTTGGCAGCTAGCAGCACAGTGCAGAGGTGGCAATCGAGTTGGCAGACCTGGTTGTTCTACATTTATTAGTGCACCACTGAATGAAGGACTCATGGATGAAAGATCATAAAAGCCAAAATTTCACAAGGAAAAACAGTTCACAGAATGATGATGATCATTAACAAACCATAAAGATTACCTTAAATGGACCTTTGACCCTCTGATTGGCTCAACTGAAGGACAGTTCAGGCTTTAACTGTATTTCCTGATAAGAGTTTAGACTGGCCAATTTGCAAATTATCCCTAGGGTGGCAAGTAAGCAATAAAATATTTGCATTTATTTGAAGTTTACTTATCTACTGATAGCAGGGCAGGGTTACAATAGATTACATTACAGTGCAACAGATTGTAGGTCATATACCTGAATTTAATTATGGTACAAGAATCTTCAGGATTTCAGGAAGGGAGTGCTATTACATTCCTAATATACAACCCCTGCAATTCAGATGCAAACAAAGTTCCTGTCCCCACTTGCAAAGAGATCCTGATCATGGGACAGTGAGGTTTAAAGCTCCCATCCCTGCACTTGAATAGGCATGGGTGATACATACAGTACATGCTTGTATTTATGGCAGAATGCATACCTGACTGCACAAAGGCCCTAACACATTGGTAAATAAGGAGCTCCAAGGCAGAAAAAGCTGCCATTTCTTCTCAAAATAGTTTGAAACTTCTTCTATACGCATCACCAATATAACTGCATGAAATCCAAGGCTTTGCCAGCTTCTATCAGTGCCCGTCCACCAGGAGCAGGGGCTTTTTCATAGTGGCGTCAGTTCTATAGAATATCCTCCTTTGAAAGGTCCCATCATTACGTGATTTTGGGATTTCTCAGAGAGCTTTTTATTACCCAGGTTTATTTTTATAGTCACTCTGACAGTTGACCTTTGTGCTATAATTTAAACTGCCTATATAATTCTGCGGAGGAATTGTAATTTTTAAGGGTTTTTTTTCTTCCCATGGAATGTTGGAAAGGAATTAGATAAAGAGGATCAGGACTCTGTCCATCTGGCTGGCTGTCCAACGGTGTGATAATTACCCAGAAACTGAAAGAGCAGGACCAAACCTAGTGTTGGAGGAGAACCCAGCAAAAGGAATTATCTGTTCAAAATGAGCCTGATCCAGCCTGGGTCTGCTGAGCAAAAATTGCTTCTCTGGGCAGAGGCTCAGAATGATGCTCACCAATCCGTTTTAGGTCCCCCCTCCCTCCCTCCCAGTCACAGGACCCAGGGGTGGCTATTATTAAGGAGTTGGAAAGAATGAAAGGAACCATGTTGTGCATGTTTTCCGTCCTCTTTTTTTAAATTGGTGTTTCCTGCTCTGTTGTTTTTTATTTAACTGGAATACGAAAAATGAAATATGTTTAATAAAAATGAAGGGCCGAAGCAGAACTGGAGAGTTCTCTCTCCATAGCTCCTTGCATCCAGGTCCTTTACACTTATCCAGAATCATCAGGGTATTGTGCCAATATTATCCCCAGTTAATGTCAACCAGGATTTGTTCAACTGAAAGCTAACTGGGAAGAGGGATAACCCATCTGAACAGCCTATTTTCCACATGAGTGCAGTATTTATGCACTTATCACATGACATCATCAGAAATAATTATCTTGGAGTATACATGGGAGGTCTTGGACATGAGCTGTTTTGGGATTTCTAAAATGTAGATATATCTGGGATTATGACTGCCTCTGTCCAGACTAACATTAAATTGTTTCTCCAAAGGAACTGGAATACCAAAAATCCCAGCCTTCCAGTCCAGAAGACAAGTTTGTTTCTGTTGTTAGCCAATTCATCACTCTGGCCAGCTTCAGCTTCTCTGACGTAGAAGATCTTCTGGCAGAAGCCAAAGAACTGGTAAGAAATTGAAATAATTATTACAGGTTACAAGTATACAGCTTTCAGGTCTGATACAGGCTGCAGCTGACAGATATAGAGATGATACACACGCTGGAACCAAAGCACCCTCTCATCTGCTTCAGATCCAGATATTTTTTGATGGTGTGCCTTGAATTTTGACCATGATTCAATGTATATCTCTTTTATATCATCAGTTTAAGTGAGGTTGAGAAGGTATGAATGGCCTGAAGCCACACTTTGGGTCTAGATTAGATAAGACCTTGAACCAAGGTCTTTCTCCCTCAAGGCTCCTCTTGCTTTGGGCCAGGTTTGTGCAAACTCTTTCAGATGAAGGGACATTTTGGGCCTTTGGGTGGCAAGCCAAAGGGCAGGACAAAGATGGGCAAAGCTAACTCAGAAACTGCAGTTTGTTTATTAGGTGTCCCTGTGGCTCAGTAGTTACTAATTCATGAAGATGCATTCTATTGTAAAGAACTCTGCAGTGAGTCCCTCTACATTTTGTCCATCAGAATCAAGTTCTAACTGCAGAAGAGTAAATTAAGGAATGCAGTTGGTAAGAGACAGAAAGAGAAGAAACTGTCAGCCAGTGAACATCCAGAGGTTCATATCTCACCCTCTTTCTGAGCCTCAGCTTTTCTTCAGTAAAATGATTCAAAGCATTTAATTATATCCCATTCAGCAGTTATGTAGAATAGTTGAATAGAATTGATGCTAACTGCCCGGCTGAAGTCCTGCCTGAAGTTTGCTGGGTCAAAGTCACATCTCTTTAATTCAACAGTTTGTTTCCAAAGTAGCAAACCTTTGGAAGATTACAAGTGGAATATGAAGGCAGGGCTCCTTCACTATTCATACCCAACATACATGTTTGGTATTTCTATTATTACTGATTTTGTAGAGAGTCCCAGCAGTTTACAATCATATAAAATCAACGTTGTAAAACAATCCTCCCTCCAAACAAAACAGAGCAACTACAACACTCTTCAACAATCAAAAGCTCTGTGGAAGAGCTCCATCTTGACTCTCCTCCAGAAGATGTAAAGAGAGGGTGCAACTTGGATCTCTGGTTCCATAGAGTAGGGTCATGGCATGACAAACAAGTTACTCTAGGGTGCTCCCTATTCCCATTTGAAGGGAACTCTCCTTGTGGGCCAGATGTACCAGATAAGTATGTTCTACCTGGAATAAATGATCTACAGATAACTAGTTGCCAAGCCATAAAGAGTTTTATAGGTTACAACCTGCATTTCAAATTGTACTCACAAGCCTATTGGTAACCAATGTAGTATTCACAGTTTTCAGGTTATGTTCAAAGCAGCCATAAGTAAAGCACATTGCAATAATCAGTCCAGGAACTGATGAGGGCATAGGTAACCACTGCAGGGGATCATGCTCCAGGAAAGGCCACAGCTGGTACTTCAGGTCAAGCTGGGCAAAAGGTCAATTACCCTTGGCTCCAACTGCCTATTTAGCAATATCCATGGATTGTGGAGGAGTCCCTACATTATGGATCTGCTCCTTCAGTAGAAGTGCCTCCCTATCTACTGTTATTACTGGAGTAGGTAAGATATCAGATGGTTTCTGCACAAACCACATCTTCTCTTGCACTGGTTCAAGATTTGGCATTGACTGTGACACTGTATCTATCCATGGAAGTTCAGATCACCAGTCATGATAATTAACCTTTGGTAGAGTTGTGCTCCATTATGATGTCTAGTTATTTTTTAAAAGCTTTCTAAGCTAGTGGCCATAAAGGCCTATACCATCAGGAATAGGATAATGCATTATTTGTTTACTTCTAGATTTTAAGAGAGCCAATTTGGTGTAGTGGTTAAGGCATCAGGCTAGAAACCAGGAGACTGTGAATTCTAGTCCTGCCTTTGGCATGAAGCCAACTGGGTGATCTTGGGCCAGTCACTCTCTCTCAGCTCTAAGAAGGAGGCAGTGGTAAACCACTTCTGAAATCTTGCCAAGAAAACCTCAGGGACTTGTCCAGGTAGTCACCAGGAGTCAAAACCTGACTTGAATGCAACAAAACAAAACAAAACAAAACAAAACAAAACAAAAAAACCACAACAACTAATTTTTAAAACATATATCCCACCCATTTCTCTGAAATAAAAGCTAACATAAAACCATTTTAAACATAGGTTCATTTCTTATGTTTACGTGATATTGCTACCTGCCTTTCATACACAAGCATCATACAGTGGTACCTCTAGTTATGAACGCCCCTCCTTACGAATTTTTTGAGATACGACCAGCTCCCGCCTCAAAAATTTACCTCAAGATACGAACTGGATCCGCGGCCATTTGCCCTGCTGCCGCATGGTCACGGCTTCCTGTAGGCGAGCTTGCGGTAGCAAGGAGACGTTCGGTGAGGCTTGTGGTGTGTTTTGTGGCATTTGGAAGGTT